AACCTCCATAACAGAGGATGTGAAATAACTCCTTATCTGCTACCATTTTTATTTACAGCCCACCTTTTCACTAGAACATGTTGAAAGAGCCTTGGTCACACGAGCCTTATCTCCTTTTGCCTTGCGTCTGTAAGGCATTCGCAGGGAAGCAACGTGCACTGTCACAGTCAGGGCTCGAGTTTATTATAGTCAGATTATACTCAATATTTCCAGTAAATGGAAAATGTATTTACAGTATTGGTGTAACCCAAGGATCTCTGGAGATCATTAAGGTCCTAGCAGGAGCACAGAAGCCCTGGCAACTGCAAGAAGCTCCTCTCCAGCACAGACACCAGTTCCTCAAGAGCTCTCCTCGATGCAAAGAACTGAACTGCCCATTTAAGGACGCTAGTCAAATGAATTGTTTGCTCTTATTGAAAAAGGCAAAACCCACGGATTATATTGCAGAAAAGGGAGGTTTYCCTTCTTCATTTTAAACCTGAAACTGTTAAATAAAACATTTTATTTGTAGTACGGGAAATGCACAGGACAATGATGCAGGTTAGAGAATTAAATCAAATGAAGAAGCTAACTTGTGYGCGCAGCTATGTGAAGATTTGAGATCTYTAAGGACACTAAAGGAAAATATTTTTAGTCTTCGGAAACAACGTGTGGTTTGAGCTCTAGCACTTCACAAACAAATTTCTGCGTTTCCACGAGACAGATAAATCCTATCTTCCATCCTTTTCAGATTCCAGTGGGTTTTCAAAACAACTTTGGAAAGGGCCTTGTTCTCTGACCTCCAGAGCACAACACGGTACCAGTTCCTGCTGGCACAGCTTTTATTAAAGTCACCTTGTCCTGCTCTCAGATCAAGTGCACTCGAAGCAGTAGTTTGACAAAGCAATAAGGAATGCATTTATAAAATAGGTTTTGCTTTTTTATTCCTAAAAATGGTATTTGAAATGTTCCTCCTTTTTCAAACAAACACCTTTGTATTATTAGGTTGCATTTGTTCTTACTTTATTTGACAATGATTCCTGTGCTTGTTGGTTCTGATGCATCCAGACATTTCCAAGCACTTCCAAAGCTTTGCAACCTCAGCRGAAATGAAGCACTGATCTCAGCTTCCTGATTAAATATTTCTCCAAGAGGAATAACTTGCAGTCTCCTGCCCAGCTAGGCCTTGCCTTCACAGCTAGCATTTCACATTCAGCCTCCAATTGCACATCAAAGCTTTATGTTTAATTTGAGTAAAGGTGCTAGTTTAATCTTGGGAGACTGCTGTCTTAGAAGTTAAAATATTAAATGCTTCTAACAAGTCTTTAAGAGATTCTGCTTTTRACATATCCTTTTCTAATGAGAATCACTGAACTTACCCAAAAAGCATTACCAGTTACCACAGTGCTGGAGAGACTTGCAAAACCTTRCACTGATTGTACAGAAATGAGGCTTTCACTCCTATTTCTACTCACACTCCTGTACAAGTCATTATAATTGTCTACTGTATTCAGTGCTGGTGMTCTGCAGGAGCTTCCACTTCTCTACTCTTCCCCGCAATAGTCCTGACTATCACTTCTCTTACCTCTGCCACAAYAATGCAGGAGGCAGTCTAAACTTGCACAAGTTTCCACAACATCACTACTCAGTATCTGCAGTAATTTGTACCCTGCATCCACCTCCGTCCCCGCAAAAAACTCACAGTCAATTCATTTCCTCTAAACAAAGAACCTTTAAAGAAAAAAATAATAATAAAACAAGATTTCTTTGAAGCATTCACTACATTCTAGACAAAAACAGGAAAGGCAACTGAAGGCTCAGTAAAATAAAAATTGGTCCAATTTTGGCCAAAATGCAAAATATTTCACCATTGCATCACTGACCTTACTGGAATAGGCTCTAAAACCCACTCCTCATTCTGCACCCTTCTTGGCTGCACTCCTGTCCCAGCGACTCCTCRGCAGCAGCCCAGGCACCCATGGAGAATCCCTGCTGCGGCGGCGAGAGCTGGGAGACCCGGATCCCAGGGGGTCTCTGGTACAAGCGCTCAGCTACTCCAAAGGAGGCTCCTCTGGGGCTTTCTTGGGTTTGTTTTTAAAGAGGCCCTCGGCTCCTTATTGACTGCATGAAGTCTTTCCCTCCCGGCACTCTCTCAGGTGCACTTCCCTACCTCACAATTTGGGGGAGCAAAGTTGCCAACGCAGCTCTGCTGACGGAAAGAGCTCTGCAATGACTCCCTATCATTTCAAAGGCACTAGTTTTAGTCCTTGGGTAGCTCATTCCCTGTGCAATCAGCAAAATTGCACAGGTTTGCAAATTCTGCCTTGCTATAATACCCAAATCATCCCCCCCCCCCCAAAAAAAAATCCAAGTACACCTAGGGGAATATGCTTATTTACTGAGTGTTTCCTTTGATTAGGCACATTGAAAATGAGAGCAGCTCTCGAGCACTGGCTGAAAGCTGAGCCGAGCAGGTGCTGCACTTGCCATGCACAATCAAGGGGAAATAAAAGGCATTTCAGCTACAAATTAATATTGGATGCTACTCTCTGGGAAAAAGCAGCCCTGATAACATTGGGAGCGAGCAAGGTTGCAGCTTCCCAAGATTAGCCCAGTGTGATCTAATTCACCTTCAGTGGGAGTTGGACTGGGCCATTTGCCCACAGCAACAGGAGTCTAAGTGCAGCTTCTCAGAAGCAACAGCTAAATGAAAACAATCTATTACTGCTTTAATTAACCTGACCCAGCCGCATACCTTCATAATTACATTTAGACAAATTGTAGCTTTCCTCAGAAGTTTCCACAGAAGGCTCCGCGYGCTGCGAGCCAGACGCAGCGCTGACTTTACAGCGGCAGTGAGAGGCTCACAAAGAGAGGCCGGGACGATACTCTGCAAAAATCAGCCATTGTAGCAGGGTTTTACAAGAAAAACTGTCTTCCTGACAATAAGTTTCTAAATCTCTACAAAATTTCAGGCTCTGTGTGTTGTTATGGGGAAAAAAAAGTCCTACCTCTTTTTAGGTCAACAATATTGTACCAGTAATGCTCAACTGTTGCTGCCAGGGATTTTTTACACGTATTGTGTATATACATCCATTGCCCATCATGCAAAAATATATTCTTAATACTAAGTTGTTGGAAGAGTAATTTATTTGCAGTACTCTGGAATGCAGCCTTAAGGGAAAAAAAATAATTAAAAAATTATTACTTTGCACTTGAAGCTATTTTAACTTGAATGTTTCATTACAAGATATCTATGACCAAAGAGCGAGAGCGTTTTCCTCCTTAATTACTTGCTTTCTATTTCAATGGCCATTATGGACTATTGTAAAATTAACCATATTGAACTTGAAATATTTTTCGAATCTGGAAAGCATTTAGTAGAGATGAAAGCTACGCAGATGTGCTGCAAAAGTCTCAAAATAAGTATTCGACAAAGCCAGCAAACACAGATCTCCCCAAACTTCCCCCTGAACCCACAGTTGGCCCTTTGAAGTTGTGGGTTGCGAATATGTGCATATACTGGCTGAGGCCATGATGGAGATTTTTTAGTCAAAGGGTTATTTTGGTGAACACAGAGGATGGAGAAATAACGAATCTGTTCATGCATTATTTAGCAAAGCATGAAAAAGTCTTCCTCTCCTCTCCCCGCTAAGACACGCAAGCTCAACCTGCAGTTAAGAGGTTGTTTTTGAACTTCTGCATGTCAAAAGCTCCAAACTATATAGACAAATCTTCTGATTGCTTACAATCATAATCCGTCAGTCTGTATGGGATTGACACTGTCAGAACCAGCGTGGTCTCTGAGGACTGTACAAACAACCCGGCACAGAAACACGTRAGGCTGCATGTGAGCGTGTGAGGCTGTACGAGCTCCTCGAACGGCCAGTCCCAACCTCTTGTGGCAGAGCCAAAGCAGAGACACAGCTGGGTGAGCAACCACTCTCTGCTTAAAGGCAGATCTGCATACTGTGAAAATGGAAGATGACACAATCACATTAAAAGTATGAGTTAATAGAAAGACAGGCTGCAATATCCAATTAGAGTTGGGTGAATTAAGGACTGCGTTAGAACAGACTGCGTTTAATTCCGAGATCTTTCCCCACTAGGCTAGCTAGATCTTTCAGTATTAAAAAGTTCACTTACTTCCAAAAAAAAAAAAAAAAAAAAAAAATTGAGATCTTATCATGCAACATCTGAATTCTTCAGAAAAGGCCACCCAAACGTTTAGATTGGGGTATTAATTAATCTTTGCATGTTCTTAATTCTTGGAAGACATCATACCACTGTGTGGGGGAGTAATGATCTTGCTTCTGTCACAGCAGATTATAAGATCTGATACCTCACTTTCTATCAATATCCTATGCTGATTTTCTAATAAATAATAGATAATCTAATCTGAAAGAAAATTACATTGCTCAAACTGCTACGCTTTGAAGGCTAAGCCAAAGTTAATCTCTGCCAAAGATATGCAAAAGTAAGAAAGAAGTCAGATTTCAAAGCACTCCAAAATGGCTGAAGAACATCTCGGCAACCTTATCAGAATCCCCTTCCTGAGACAGGTTCTACTGCTCAAAGCCATCTGTGAGCCATGACTGAACAGATACACCAGATTTTTCAAATATGCCATGATTTTAATGAACTTGCTGGCATATTTTTACAGAAGTCTGAATCCTTTTGAAAAGTCCCCAGAGGTTTCTGAAGTTGGGCATCCAAAAACTGAGCATGCAGCATTAGAGATCATTTTTTTGGCGGGGGGGAGAAAAACAACACAAAACAAGACATTCACTCGACAATTGCCTACACAAATATTTCTCTAATAAGAACTGAACTCATTCTTTGAGGAGCACTGTGGAATATGTAGATGTGATAAACTCTACACGAAAAACTTCTATTCCATGTGTTATTTCTGTTATATATAAATAGAAAGGTCACAGGCTTCCCATTTTACAATACTACAAAATAAAAATCTTTATATTATGTGAATCAGGATATGGCAAGGACAGAACAGCCTGACTTACTGAAAGGTGTTGTATCAGTAGGATCAGGAGGCGGGAAGTTTTCAGTGAAGTTGACATTACACAAGTCAGTACTGCAGCAGCAGAAACGGTATGTTCCATTCTGGATCAAGGAGGGGGTGGTTGTTACTATACACTCTTCAAAGTGACACTCCTGTGGGTCTCCTATATGAGACCAGCACCCTGTAGAAAGAGGTGAAACAAACAAATAAATAAATAAATAAATAAATAAGGAAGCATTAAATTCTTTCAAATGAACATTTAAACGTATCTATATTAACAATATCATATATTATTAATTAAAATTTACAGTGTGGGATGAAAAGTAACATAATTTCCTTGCCTTGCTTCATTATCACTTTTTAAACTAACTGAATAATTTCAAAATTTACCACAACCAGGGAAAAGCAATAYATCATCACCACACCATCATCACAAGCATCCAGCTGTCAATCTCAATATCACAAATCCTGAATTCTGGATTTTTCTAAACACATGGATGCCAGTCACCATTTCTCTGGTAGCAGGAACAACACTATCACCCTCCGGTCCACAGTCTGGACTTACTTGTGACCTAGACCTCTCCTCACAGCCAGGAAACAAGCCTGCATCTACAACTTGGTATTTCTTGTGCATTTTCTAAAACATCTGTCCTTCATTGTCAATATCGCTTGAATCTGCTACAGCATCACGAGTTATTCTTGGTTTAGTGCCAGTCCCTTCTCCCTGCACCAACTCTCCTCAAATACAGACAACACGGGTTACATGTTGTCTGAACAAAAACACTTGGAAAAGCAAGCRGAAAAGCATGAGGGCAGAGTAGCTCTGAGTGGGAGAACTACATATAGCCTGGGCGAGTGCCACACTTCTCACACAGCCTTACACTACATTAACATTTATTAATCTAGAGCTGAGTCTGAGAAAATGAAAAATTAGATTTCACCTCTAAGAAATACAAGACCTGACACCAATGTATTCCCACCAGAACTGATAGATTGAGATAGTTATATATTTGCMATTTCCTTTTGTAAACATGCCCAATGAATAATACATTTTTAACGAAATGCTTAYTTTTAAATTTAGCACATCGGTAACTATACTGAAATATTCTCAAGAAAATAATTTTCCTCTGCACATCCTAAGAAATGAGAAACTTGAGTTTTATTTCCTTTAATTGTGCACTGAAAATGAGCTTATCAGTCTTTTTCAGAAGCAATTTGTTCTGAACAAACTTTCTGTTCATATTTAAAATCACAAAAGGCAAGATAAAAAGAAAGTTATGTGTTTGTATAACATGCAAACAAAATGTATAGCTTTGCAACCAAGCATCTAATCAGATGGATATCAACTCTGTCATAAAAAAAGTTAAAAGATTAGCAAAATTACTGCATTTAAATGCAAAGTACCTTGTTTTACAAGGTGTATGTCTCCTTCTCGTGTTTTYTCCCAAAGTCCATAGCAGGTACTACCCTTCATGCACAGAATTGTGCCATTCTCCTGAGAGATTCGGCTCTCGCTGATTCCATGGTCCTGCTGATAGGGGTCCTTGAACGCACACAGCCGCTCCTCACTCTGCGTAGCTTAAGATAAAAGAAGAAAGCATTTTTTGTCACTGATTTTATTTATAAAATATTAACTYTCCTAAAAAGGATTATTATGACTATTCCTAAAAAAAAACAACATTCAAGACCATCCTGAACTTTACCCACACAGTTAATCTCACAAAGAGGACAAGAAAAGCTCAACAGATGTTACAGAAGGAATGTCCAAATGTTGGAAATCCACAGGTGCAGAATTTAAAAAGACAACTGTTAGCTGTTTCCTTCAGGAAAACAAGAGAAGTAAGAGAAGAATAAATATATTCAAACAGTGAATGCTTTTGAAAGGCATTAAGGCCAATATAAATTTGAGTTTTGCGGTGAACATGCTGTTGAGAATACTTTCATTCTTTCCTTGAATAGCCTTTTATAGAAACCATGGAAAGGCGGGTCCATAATTACCATGCAGTTAAATATTATGCAGCAGTAAAGCTTAAAGTTRCATTTTGAATAAGAATGTGCACAATGTATCTTAACAAGTAGATTTCATCCCAAATCTTTAACTCCCATAAAAGCATTTGTAGCAAAAAGTGTGAGGTCAACTAGACCACAAGCAGTCTCTCGGGATAATTAATGTTAAATCATAGAAAAAGCAACTGTTAGCTCTTAAGCAGGCCAGAGCCCGACTGCTGCTTCATTATATCCCTAGCGCAGATGACTTGCTAGCAGTAGGACAAACCAAGACATGGTTTCAGATACAGATGTCTCGTTTCTCCGACTGTTACTATTCATTAAGGAGCACAGGGTTTGTCCTACCCCAAAAGAACCATGGGCTGGGAGTAGGACTAGCACAGGTTGCTCCACGCACTTGCTAGCGGCCTGTGGTGCACACTCGGCCGCTGGCCTGCGTGTCACCTCGGCGGTGGCAGCTCTACAACCACGGCTGCTCGCACCTCCGTGTGCCCCCGCGGCGGCCCAYGGGCTGCATGTTGCTTTCGTACAACTTCTCCTTTCTCAACGCGCGCCGTTCCTCGAGTTCCTAAGGAGAGGAAGGTCACGTACTAGGCGGCAGCGCCCGCCTCTCTGCTCCCGACAGCTGAGTATTCCCGGCGTGAGGCATCTGTCCGGCTCGGYGGCGCGTGGCACGCAGCCCCGCCGCCTCGGGGACCCCGAGCTGCCCCTTGTCTTCCRAGGAGGAAGGGCAAAAAAGCACCATGGAAATAGGAGAGAATCATATGTCCTTGTGAAACACCACACGGCTGCTCGCAGGGACGCGACGAAGGCTGTTGAATCCAGTGCAGAGTGAGGTCCCCAGAGAAGTGATTTGTTTTCCCACTACTCAGATGGCTGCAACGTCAGCCCTGCTGCAGCGTAAGCCCTGCCGCGATCTGCTTTTACCATGAAAAATAAATTATAATCAACCAAACACAACCAAGGCAGCTCTGATCAGCTGTGCTCAGCTGCTTTCTTCATCCAAAAACCAAACAAAAACCAGAGACTTGTTAAAGAAATAAAAAACAAGTAATTCCAGGAAGGGTACGCTTTCATAATTCAACAAATTAAAGTCTTTTAATTTTTGAACTAGTCAAGAAAACTGCTTTGGTTTTGCTTTCCACCCAGAAACGTAGCTCCTTAGATCGTGCCCGTGCTTCAGAGGCACAGGCAGCTCTACCTGGCGGCTCTTCCAGCATGTTTATCCCCCTTCACATCTCTGCAGATCAAGCCAAGCRACACAGAAAATAACTGTTCTGACTAAAGGCATTTTTGATTAAAAAAGAAAAGAACTACTGCCCCATAAGAAGACGTGGGAGGGGGAAGCATGGGAAGCACAGCACTCRGGGTCACAGACCACAAGGCCTAGCTGTCGCTTTCCTAGCGAACTAATAAAAATGCAAGTTAACTCACCGCAATTTCACGTCAGACGATCTCAGTGGGAAACTTTTCCAACAAAAATAAAGGTTACTCACCCAACAACTAGAGTTTTCATGCTGATCTCTGCACATTCCTCCGATTACAACTTAGGCTTTGCCTATAACTTAGGCCAGGAAAGCTCCTCTGGGAGCAGTACCCAGCGCAAAGGGCCGTGCGCCCTCCCGGAGGCAACATCTGGAGGTCAGGGGACACTCAACAAAAGCCACTTTCTGTTCACCCGGCCTCACCGCTCAAGCCGCAATGCCGAAACCCCTGGGCAGGATGGAGGGCCGTGAGCGGGGCCGCGCCGCTGAGGCCCCAAGGCTGCTTTGGGGAGCACCCTTTATGGATACTCCCAAAGGCAGATCCGCTTCCCGGAGGCCTCAGCGGTGCTGGGGCCTGCCCTGAAGCACCTGATGATCCCACTCCAGCAGCTGAGCAGAAGCAGAACCAGTTTCGCCCAGAGCAGAAACACCCCGGTATCCACGGCAGAAGCGAACCCCATATGCACGGCGACAAGGTCACCTTGGCACCCCCTCTTCTGAAGGGAAATCACRTTGCATCGGCTCCTTCACGGGCCTTTCAAACCATCTACCTTATTAGGCCTGCACAAATTAAGCATCTCAAAAATAACTGCATGAAGATAATTAAAGTTAATTTGGATGGCAGTTTCTGCATAAGCGTGTAACTCTATAATAGCTCTTTCATCATAGGGCTAAAAACAGCAAATAGGAAAAAAATGCCAAAGATGCATATGTCCTCACAAACATTTTAAACCCCTTGAATCAATTATTAAATTCATACTTTATAAAAGTATTATGTTGGAAATAGAGAAAGTCATGTTAAAGGCTCCCTCCAAAAGTGGGAAACTTCTACATCATTTTAATTTCAGAACATATAAGTAAGAAATTAAGACAATTATATTTTAGCGATGGCTTCTAGARTTTTCGGGGTACTTTTAGGATTTTTATTTTCATTATAAAAAAGTAAATTCATCGTAAAATATACTAACCAGGGATTTCATTTGACACAAGGCACATTTTGAGGCATATATATACACACAGTGTTTATTGGTCTTATAATCAACACACAAAACTACAGAAAAAAACAGATTAATATAGGAGACATACTATACTGATGTTTTTAATACTTCCTTATAAATATACTTTTATGTCCAACTGCTCAACTATAGAAAAGCAGCACACAAGTACATGAATCCTAGATGCTTACACTTACATTGTTTCACTATAACAATAACCCAACATACATTTACTATTTGAATTTTTGCCTTTGTTCCTGCAAAGCTACTGTAACATAAATACATGATTCATCTGTACTTGGACGGGTTTAAACAAATTAATATATTGTGACTGCTTTTTAATATACTAATTCTTTTGTGATTATCTTATGTTATAGGAAATCATAATTGCTTAAAACAATAGCACGCACATACAAAAGTTACAGGAATCCAACTGCAAATCCTTAGAACATGAGTCATGTTTTCATTAATAGCATAGGAAGTCGGATCCATTTGTATTTAATCAACATTTCCTGTTCTTACGTCTGTTCGGCGTAGTATATGTGACTGCTAAGGGAGGGGGAAAGGCAGGAAAAACAGACAAGTGCTGATACCGCTTCAAAGAATTCCTCTACCCCTTGTTCTAATTGTTAGGATAAAACCCATGTTTAGGACTCAAAGATTAATGCCAGGCAGTGTCTTTTGCGATGCAGCAACCCCGAGTAACAGAACCCAAGGTAACGGGCAGGAGAGACACCTGCATGCAGCCCTGAAGGGGTTCGCGGGCATCGCAGGCAGCAAACAGGGCTACCATTTGGGTAATTATGGCCACCTGCCTCCCTGACCACCTGGGGGAAGATGTGGAAGGTCTCTGGTGTTATTTGACTTACCTAAGCCATGAAATCGCTCTGGGGAAACATCACTGCCCCAGAGGCAGGGTTATGGGATAGCATATGTCTTTTTAATGTGAACTATTACAAGGAGGGTGATTAAGGAAGTGCCTATCAGGAGGTTGCTTCAAGTGCATCCTCTCAGCTCCTCATACTCCTCTGACACGCGATACACAGAGAACGTCAGTGAGTTCTGGGCACAGGCACTTGAAGGCTGCTTTTTCTCATCTTTTCTTCCTTGTAGGCCTTAATTACAAATATATGCAAATGTAAATATGCTCACTTAAAAATACATCACAAGCTTTCTTCTTTTGAAAGCAGACCTGCTGCTGCAGACAATCCTTAACCCCAACYAGAGGTGGGGGGGAGAGGGAAAAGGCTGAAATGCTTTTGTGTTTTGTCTTCGCACTTCCAATAGCCTGTTTTCAGTATATATTTGATGAATTGCCCAACCGAGATCTGGCCTGACTGGTCCAGAAGAGGAACCCCCAGCTCAAGGCGGGGTTGTGCTCCCAAGTGCRGGAGCTTTAGCCCAAGGGCTAAAATGAGTGGGAATAGTCTGGGGGAGCTGAGCACGAATGGGAAGCGCAGAGGGCGACGCGCAGCCAGGGAGCGCGGAGGCGGCTCCAGGGGGGCTCCGCCAGCACCAGCCCCGAGCCATGTTTTGACAAGGCTCAAAATGTCAGAACGTAACACTCGACAATGAAATCCTGCCAGTTTACGCTCACTGTTAAAATCTGGAATTATTTGCTTGTAATACTTTGCTTTCATCAAAGAAAAACTAGTTTTCATTGATAATTTTTTTTTTTTTTTTTTGGGCTTTGCCTGTTTTTTGCTATGTTACATAGCAGTTTCAAATGCTGGCAATTACACAAAGCCAGGCTTTGATTGAGAACCAGTACCAAAACTAAAATGATTGCTAGTCCTAATTGCCATTTCAAAAAGATGAAACAACTGAGCACGCACATGACTAAATCATTCATGCTGGCTAAAGGATTCTTCTCCACTAAAATACACAACACTAGAAAATTCAAGTGTCTTATTTTTGGTACTGGGTTATACATCAGTCTTTCAAATTCTCAGGCCTAATTTCTACAAGCAACTTACTCAACTCCTTTCTCCTTATTCCCTTTCTAATATTAGAATTATTAAATATAAAAAATCTGCCAATAAGCACCAGCAACAGTGAGCCAGACACCAGCTTTTACACACAGTGTTTGTGT